CATTCGTTACGCTACGCTTTTTCGTAAGTCGGTGATCAAAAGCCTTTCGCTGAACCTTCCGACTTGCGCCTGACGCCTCCGCGAGAAAATCCGGCTTTTGCGCCTAAAGTATTACAATAATTGCATTTGTAACAAGCAATTATATAAATAAAATATAAAGAAGAAATTTATTGATAAAACAGAATTGAAAATTTTCTTCCAGGAAAGTCTTTTCTCTTAGTTTGGAGACTTAAAAATATTTGGCAAGATTTTTTTTTTTTTAATCGACGAAAGAAAATGCATGATTGTTCGTATGGCAATTAAAATATCGCGGAAATACACTGACACGTGCTAGATAAAATGCGATATCTTGCACTCGCTGGAAGGAGAGTGCAAATAGTAATTAAACAAAGACAATAAGTAGGTTATCGCAGATCAGTGAAAGTCTATCCGGATACTGATGAGTGCAGGAGAAAAGTCAGTACTCTGTTCATTATTGCGGGACAATAATACCTTGATAAGAGAGACTTTATATACATATACATACATACATATACATATATATATATATATATAATAATTGATTCCTTTCTGATTACGTAATCGGATACGCTCCTCGATTTTTTCGCTTAGAAAGTCCTTCGCGGTAACTTCTATTAAAATTAATGACATATACTTTCCATGCGTTGTTACGCATTGATAAAGACTTGATAAAGGCTTCCCAATGGATGCTATTCGAAGCTAAACAATATGTTTTTAGCTATGATTGTTTTAGATTTAAAAAATGACAAACAACAAAGTAAAAATTGAAATAGTTCTTTACTTATTGACGTAAGAATTGATCAAACTTAATATTTTTATTCCACACTATTTGCTGATTTAGCTTTATTTATACTTATTTTAACCATGCGATTACAGTTTATTAATGATTTTTTAATTTAATCAAATTTTGATAAAATTTTATGTAATGTTTGTTTTAATATCAAAGATATAGATTGATTTTCATAATTTTTATGATAATCATTCAACGTGTGATATTTTTGATGATTTTATACAACTAACACTAATTGACATTTAACTTAAAAACACTTCTCGTTTTATGCACATCTCTGAAAAGATCCGATAAGAATTTATTCTGGTTAATAAGAAAATATTTTTATACTTTCTTGAATGTCTTAAGTGTTTTTATTACACGTCACATAGTTCTAATTAAGAGTGCGGCATTTCATTTATTCCCGTCGAAGTATTTTCGAAAAGCGCGACGGTAATCGCGGCGGATATTTTTAACAGCTAGGAAATCAGACTCCATATCGCTGGTCGATTTGCAGCCGCCGGCAGAAACCTTACATATTCAACAATGACTCATTTCCAGGAGTGTAACTCACCCCTATTCTCACCCACGACAATGTACCACGCCATTGTTCGCCTCCTCACCCGAGATCGACTGTCCCTCTCTGATATGACGTGCTTCACCCAATTTCTCTTCCTTTTTTCTTCTCTTTTCTGACACTCCGCCATTTTTACGCGAAATCACCGCAATTTTCATTTAGATGTTTGTTTCGGTCTCTTCTCATTTCTCAAGAGCGGTGAAGGCTGTAACGATTCGTACGAGACTAATTTGAGGTTTCGTTTGAGTGATTTTGTGATATTTCCGGCTCTCAAAAGTAAGACATTAAATAATACACTAATAATCGATAAAAGTCGAATTTCGAAAAAATTCAGATTTCTAAAATACTTGGCAACAAACTGCATCAAACGAATGGTAATTGTTACAATCAGATATACAAGAAGAAATACGCGTAATTATATTTCAGATACTCGAGAAGAATGATATAGAGAAGAAATAACGATCTAGTTCCGAGTTAACCATTCGGTCGACGATAAGATAACGATTTTATTAAACAAATAGTGGTGAGATAAACACAGACTTGCTTCGGATAGGATATACTATTAGCGTTTTAATGAGACTGTTCCTGTCGGATGTGTATCAATTCGAGTCTCAATCAATGACGAAGCCTCTTTGATTAACGGTTCAGCGCGCGCGTTCGGGGAAAAAAATCTTTTGAACACGATACCTGACCTTAATGAACTGTTCGCATCTCACACGTGTGCACCTTACAATGTAACATTTCTTATTATATTATTCTTTTTGTCTAAAATTTTTGTTACGTTAAAATGCATCGATAGATAAGAATATATAAAACCGATAGATAAAAGAAGTGAATAAACGGCCTGTGATTTATCCTTTTCTTCTTTCTCATCAGTTGAATACAGATAAAATATATTTTGTGTAAAATAAATAAATTAAATATTATATGTGCTGCTGAACTAATAATTATAAACTAATTTAGCAAGTTGTTTTAAAATACGTAAATGTGTAATTTATTTTTTTTAAATGTGTGATAAAAATATATTAATAAATTAAGAAATTCTGCTCTATATATTAGGTTAAGTAAAAAGTCATCGCGTTTTTTTAAAAGACATCTATCAGTAAAAACCACAATTACTTTCTTATCAACAATATAAATATATCTTGATAGAGTAAAGTTTCAGCTTTAAAAATCTCTTTTTTAAATTATACGATACGACAATTTTTAATGGAGTTATGAGCAATTAAAGTCAAAATAATTCTTTTATTTAATCCGCGATAACTCAGTAATCAAAAGTCGTAGGAATATTAAAAAAAAACAATTTTGTAGGGAAAGTATCAAGCTTTCACGATAGGTAATCGAAAATTTTCTCAAATTCGTTTTGGACACGTTACAAATCCACAAAGTGAGAAGAAAATTTTTCGTCTTTTTCAGCTCGTAGTTTTTGGTATGTAAAAATTATCAAACTCATATAAACTTAAAAAATGTGATAAGCTTTTAAAAGTAGAGATTTCAAGCTTTAAAACCCTTTTTTTAAATTTGAATTTCATTCATTATTGACGAAGATATTGTATATACAACTTTGAGCTAAAAAATACGCGATGACTTTTTACTCAACCTAATATATAAATATCTGATGTCCGAAGAGAAATAGAGTTCTCCTGTAAGGAGCAACGGTCAGGTGTAACTATGGCCTTGACTCAAGCTCGACGTTTCCGGAAGAGGTTAATACCCGAAACGCATCGTTGCCTCTTAGGGTTGGAGCGTGTCGTGAATGGTTTAAGTTTTCTTCGCTTCGTGCAAGGAATCAACCATTCGGTCGATGTTCCTATTTATTTCCGAGCTCTCGTAACTTTGAAGGTCGAAGGAACTCGGGCTCGGATAAATGTTATTAAATTTATCGATCGTCAAGTAGATACAAACCGTGTAACTCATATCATAATATGCCGTAGATGACCGATAGTATCTAGAAAAAAAAGTTCATCCGCCGATCATACTCATTAGTTTAATAGTTTTAATGACGGAGCGACAATATTCTATAAATGTACTTTTATTTTCTTTGATAAAAAAAAAAAAGATTGAAAGATTTTAATTTATGCGAAAGGAGAGATTTAAAAGAAAATGGCGCGAACAAAAAATAACTAAGAGAGTCTCATTTTTTTTAATGCGTGTGTTTATCGCACAAGAGTATTATTACCTTTTTTTGTGTTGGACTCTTTTGAGGTTTCCGTCGTACGTAACTTTATCGCTGTTTCTACGTCGCGTCGTGCCGAATCACGGCATGTTTGTCGGTCAATTAAAAAGTCCACGGTACGATCTTACCGGTCCGGAGAACGCAGAAGAAGAGGCGAACGCATGTCGGTGAACGTCCGCGGGGGGTCGTCGACCCAGGCCGACCAACCGGAGGAGGCGGTGAAGGAGGAAGAGAAGGAGGAGGAGGTGGAGGAGGAGGTGGAGGAGGAGGAGGAGGTGATGGTCTCGGTCGTCTTCCTCGACTTTAATGCCGAGTCTTTTGCGCCGCTTTCAGGCAGTGGCATCGCCTGCCTCCGGCCTTGATCCTCATGTTGAAAACCCTGGTCCGTATGATTATCCCAGTAATACGATGCCGTCACTGAGCCTTGAAGCCGAAAGGTCATCTCGACCGCTGGCACGATTTGCGCGTGATATGATTCCTCCTTATAATATACACAATGTTCTAACAGGAAAGCTTGATATCAAATCGTCGTGAAAAAAGCAAAAGGGCTTACAAAGATGTTAATTTTTAGTTTTATCATCTGTGTTTGTAATATTGACATATCAAGTTTTGATTAATTATTTTTTTATTAGTTTTACGTAATAAATATGGCAACTTTGTACTTATGATATAGAGACGTGCGAAAACGAACATTATAAATAATACTAGAAAATATATTGTTGTGCGTACTATAATATGTATTATAACATTTTCACGTTAATGAATGATGAAATTTGGAAAATTTTTGCTTGTAATGTTGGATGGGGAGAATATTTTCTCTTAAGATAAGTTCTCTATAAATTCCTAAAATTCTTCAGTTTTTAAGTAGCTTGGCCAATACTTTAAAACTCACATTTAGAGTTTAGCAAATTGATATGACATCCGTTTTTGTCAATGTAGATTACTTTTAATTTTTATTAAATTTATCTTTATCTTTTTTTCTTAGATTTGCAAATAATATTTTAGTAATCTTTTGTTTTACTTTACTGACAGATTTTTCTCCATTCCAAAAATAATGATAACAAGTCTTCCGAGACAATCAACAGTATTATATTGTCGACGATATTCTAATGAAAATTCCATTTTGATAATTTATAAATTTTATTCATTTAATTTCATATTTTCTATCTTCTTCAGAAATTAACAGACAAGATCATAATTATATGCAGGTGTTGTAGGTTGATTTTAATATCGTGCACTTAGCGAAAATTAAAGCTATTGCAGATATAATTTTATTAAATAAGAATAAAAATTAAATTAAAAAAATGAAATAAAAAAAATATTATCAAAAACAAGATTATTTTTATTGTATTTTATTAATGTTTATTAATTTTATTCTAGCCTATTATTTGGCGTTAACGTTATCAAAGAAAAAAAACTTCTCGGTGTCGTATTCAATTTTTTTTTTCTTTTTTCAGACACTGTTCCGTAGTCAGCCGCAAGGCGCGACACCACAACAACTGCAACTTCTACAGCAGCAGCAGCAACAACAGCAGCAACAATACCTAGCCGCGTCCCAAGCGCAGCAACAGCAGCAGCAGCAGCAGCAGCAACAAAACTTTCCTACTGCCCCCTATACTGTTATCAGTGGACAGGAGCCTTACGTAGGAGCGCTGATAGCTGGCGCACCACCTCCTGTAGTACCGCAATACTATGGTGTCGGGCCCTGGGTCTATCCGGCTGGATTGCTGCCGCAGGCACCACCCCAGGCGGCTGCACCACCGCCACCCCGACGGCCACTCACCCCCTCTTCGGCAGCGGCTGCGGCTGCTGCCGCGCAGGACACCGCCAACAATCTGGCACAAACGGTAAGGTAGTCGCCAACAATAATCGTCAAAAATCCGTAAAAACTACAAAAAGAACAGAAATGGATAATTTTTGTAAATTACGCATTTGTAAATAAAAATATAAGAGATCTCTTTGTCACGACTCGATTGAGAGCAAATATTCTCGGAGAATATTGACATAAATTTATTTTTAATGGTTTGAAAATTCAAGAAATGAGAATTTTGAGATTTTTTAGGAAATTTTTTTTTATTGATTATTCGTTCTTCTGATATCTTTGAGTTACCGAAGGTGTGCGTGCCGATGTGCGATGTTTTGAAATAAATCGAGCCGCGCGTATACACCACGAGTATCGTGATCATGCATAATCGTTAAATAAAAGCTAAATTTAAGTTTGACGGCAGGGTAGATAGAGTGCTCACGAATTAGCGAGTACCGCGAATTAGACGTGTTTCTAATTCTGTAAAAGCTATTTTCTCGCTCGCCCGTTCCGCGAGTGGCCGATGATTGTTTTTTATGCTTGACATAAGACGTAGATCGTTCGTTGTACCAATTAGATTGCCACATTGTCCTCTTAGATATTTTACCACTGTGACAAGTGGAGGAAATGGTAGGAATGCACTGCACTGTGATATTTCCAACTTATAAAATTAGACTCAATTTGGAGCAAGTTACGTCTATTGTATTTATGTACAACGACATAAATGAAAGCGAACAGAAATCTCGGCGATTTAAATGAGGAGCTTACTTAAACGGACGTTTAAGTTCGGACGTTTCAGATTATCACATATTTTCTGAATGAAGTCTCTCAAACCTTAATGTCAGAAGATAAAGCTTTTTGTACATTTACTTCTTTTTAACTATTATATAACATCTATTATAAATGCAATCCCTTTAATTTTAATATTAATTATCTCAAATTCTATTATTTATTTATTTTTAATGATTGATATATA